AGTTTCGAGATTGAATGACAACCTTGAATTCAAGCATTACGGCCGCCAAAATACGGATTGCTGTATCGACTCCGAGCAACTCAAAAGGCAAGTGAAGGGGAAAATCCACAAGACAGAATCGGGTGTGATCGGGTAATGCGAATTCGAAGACAGGAGACACTTCTGGAGGCATCACTTCTAACTCCACTTTGGTCTTGCCCGGCACAGGCACAGGTGAACTGAGAAGCATAAGAATCCAAGTTTCGATTTCCTTAATCTCTTGCATTGCTTCGGAAGGAATTGTATTATGCCAGCGACCACTTAGTACTGACCATACAAGATTCTTGTTGGCATTCCTTTGCGCCGCTCTATAATTGCAGCCATCGATGATTTGTTTGAGTAAAACCAGTAAGTCATGGAAGGTTGAAACAAAGGGATGATGCGAGATTAAACATAGGCTCGTCAACGATAAACTACGTTCTCTGGTTTTCTCGGAGAGCACTGCAGTCCCACTTGATCTACATGCGTTGGTTAATCTCTTCTCTAAGCGTTGAAAAAAATTGAGGCATACACCATATCGCACTTTTGCAGAGTCCTTTTCTGTTAGCATGAAAACGAAAAATTGGGGATCACGGCCCTGGCCGGATCCTGCGTGAGTGCCTAGTGTTAGACATCCCTCAGGCTGACAAAACACCGTAACATCAGTTGGTAGTGAAAAATCAGCGTGATCATCTGTTGGATACCTTCTGAGTATTTCTGGATATGTAATCGATGTGTGCGTGTGCTCCTTGCCAGTGTTTCTGATTCTGTTCCGTTTCCCAACTACAACAAGATAGTCAATCAAGCGTGGACACAGCTCCTTTTCCTTGTCAGACATTATGTTGGAGCATCAAACATGGCAGAGTGTTACAATACGTCCACCACGCAGAAACCGCAGCAGTGAATCTGAATCAAAATCGAGATGTAGTTTACGGAACTAAAACTGAAAAAAAAACTATAATAAGGATATACGAGTGAAGAGGTGCGTAGTTGGGCAGTATGAGGCGTGGCAGCCTGATGACAGCGCTTGATAGGCATAAAATTGAGGAGCACAACTGCAACAACTTTGAAGTAACGTGCACGATATAAGCGCAGGAGATGGAGATTTCTGCGAGAAAAGCATTAGAGGCGTTCAGGATCTTTCAAAGAAATCCTAAAATGAACGGTAGAAATGAGTGCCCGTCTATATGCGACGATCTTATGCCGTATATACCGCACTGCGGCTCATGACTCAGTAGCATTATGACGTGATCTTGCTTATCACAAGTAAAGGGAGACAACACAAGAAGTCTCATTCGCTACTGACAGTCGCCTGTTGGCGACAGCGGATTTATTCCGCTTGAATGGTGGAACCCTGGTGGGTTAAGATTCGAATTGTGGGTTTGAATTTGTTGTCACATTCGGCAAAGGGGGAGATGAGCTTTTTGGATACTGTGCAAATCACCTCGAATTGCGTTAGCCCTCTGAAGGAGATGATAGCGTCGAAACGTTGAATTAATAAATTGTTCCACGTAACAACCTCGCACGGCACAAGAGTATTTTAATCATGAAACGCTTACAATAAGGATATACGAGTGAAGAGGTGCGTAGTTGGGCAAGCGTGGAGCAGAGCAATGGGCGCTATCGATTGTGTTGTCCATTGCGGGCTCGCTGACGTCGAAGGCAACTGCATGTGAACGATTGGAGCGCGGCATGCCAAGGAACGTCTACCTCAAACTTGGATATTCAAACCTTTATTTATTTGTGATAAAAGGTGTGGTTGATTTACTTTGGAATGATTGCTGGAAGTTGGTACGCTCATCCATAAAAAAAGGTTAAAAAACGAAAGCATATCTGAAAAAGTTCAGAGAGAGCGAATAATCTGAACTGAGTTTCTACTATGGATGCAAATCAAACGAGAAAGCATAAGCAAAAAATTATGGCAAGTGATTCTGAATGCGCTAAAAACGTTCCTTCTCATCTTTGTTATGCACATATTCAATCAGAAGCTCGTTCCAGACAGATTGACCTCAATGTTTCCGATTGCACCCCAACCATTTTGACCCTTAAACATTTCCACAAAGTGCAGCACGCCATTACCACTTATCTTCNCTATGGATGCAAATCAAACGAGAAAGCATAAGCAAAAAATTATGGCAAGTGATTCTGAATGCGCTAAAAACGTTCCTTCTCATCTTTGTTATGCACATATTCAATCAGAAGCTCGTTTGAGACAGATTGACCTCGATGTTTCCGATTGCACCCCACCCATTTTGACCCTTAAACATTTCCACAAAGTGCAGCACGCCATTACCACTTATCTTCGACTATCTTTCCTTCATTCTTCCTCAAAAAATCCAGTTCACTAGAGACTGGGTAGTCGTTTTGGTTCCTAGACATACCCATGAGAACAAAGAGAACGTTGATTTTTTGCCATCCTCCTCCGCACATGGCACTACATCTCCCATTTTACCCCGGAAACCCATTCACTAACGAGTTTAGTCTGGTCTTTTTATCTTCTTGCTCCCGGATATGACCCTATCACTCCTTCATTTACCCCAGTAAATCGATCCGATGTCGATTGAAGCTCCCATGTACTTCCCAGACATTCTTGACAAAATCAAAGAGTCACTTTTTCCTCCCTAACGCCCCCTTATATGACGAAATTAATTGATTGATTTCGAATCTTCTAATTAAATAATAGTTTTCCGTATTGGCGCTATTGACGTCAATCGTTCCATTGGAAAACGATTTGTTTGAACAGACATAGTCAGGGTTCTTGTAGTCAATTTGGCATCATCCATAATCGGGGCGATGGGAACATTTAGGTTACCCTTTCCCATTTTTCAGAATTATTACTGAGTGACTAGGATTTTCCTATTTTTTTCCGCTTTTTCAACATTGAAAAACACCTATAGAATTATAGTAAAGTCTCCTATTGAATTGTCTGGATACACCATGCTTTTAAATCCCATTGATAGCTATGGCAGCATTTGAATGATCACTTGTCTTCTACATTACTTAGTGTGGTCTCATTAGTGTTCAAGTCGTTGTGTTTCGTCTCACAGCAAGGCTTGATACTCACCAATCGGCCCCAGAAAGGAAGGTAACATGATTGCCCTAGACAGGATCGAATCTAAGGTTCCGATCGGTGAGTGGGTACGTCTGCAGTAGCACCACCTGCCTATTCTCCTAGTCGATTTTCTGCCTTCTCAGAAAGATTTTTGGAAATCTACTCCGAAACAAACGAAAACTTTGTGGCTCTGGGCAAGGTCTAATCCGGAATTCGACCCAGAGAAAGTACATCTGTACTATATAGCACCGGTTGACTTCCCTTACATCCGGTTTTTTGCCTTTTTTGGATGTTTTTTAAAACTTTCCGCGACTCCTCAACCTACTCAACTCAACTACTTTTTGTAACTACTCTGACTAGGGAACAACTGAAGAAAAAGGACGATGGCATTACTTTCTTTCTAGATATATTCAATAGTCGCGAATCAGTTCTTCTAAGAAAGTTCCTCTGTCATGAGTCATGCGTTCGTCAAATTAGTTTATGACTTCCCCATTTTTTCTTCATTACGTAAGTCCTTTTTCTTAGCTCCCACGTGGGCTCAATTGCCCTTCTTATTCATCGCAACTTCCTCTTATCTAAGGAATCCTAGTCACGTGGCCTTGTTTTCATTAAGGTCCTTCCTGATGACGTCCCCTCAGGACTTTCTGTAGTCCCCAACTCGAGGCTTCAATATGCAAGGCTGTCCACATCAGGTGGTAATCTGTCCCTTCCTTCATCCATACCTTTGTTCCCTCACCTTCATCTGGGCTCTAACTCTGACCTTACAGCATCCCATACTAAAAATATATTAGAAATTGTTTCGAAGTGGAGTTCTGACATATGTGGCTTATTCGGGGATTTGGGGTCGTCAGCCTGATGTACAACATAGGGCTAATCTGCTGCCAAGTAACCAACTTCGAAAAGGCAGAAGCCTCGGTTGGCCTGGGCGGTATCGACTTGGAATTCCATCATCCTTCCATGTAAGGGTGTGATAGCGCGAACCTTGGTGTCACTATCTCCTCCTCCTCATAAGTGGGTAGTATTGATGGAAACATTTGAAAATGAGCAATGGGAATAGAACAAATCATTACTATAATATGACTCAATTATTACTGAACCGGGTATAGGAGGAATGTACGGCAGGTATGCGCAGTGCATTTGGCATGATTTTGGAACTGCAGAAGTAGTTGGTTGCCTTATTGGCAAAGACAAGAACCTCGGCGGAACTTACACAAAAACCTAATCATCTTGGGCCGTTTTTCATCTACCCACATCAATCTGGTATCAATACTACGTCACCTGGAAGGCGACCAGGGTAGGGTGATGTGGGCATTTTCAGATTGCCAAAATCATACACAACCAGGTTCCATTAATGTCGCCCAACTCCATTGCTGATCTCAACCTAAACTAGCTCACTACTGCAAAGGATCATCTACAAGATTCCATGTAGATCCTGTAGATGATCCTATCTGGGCTTTTGAACCGGATGCTAGCGATCTTGAGAGCCGGTCTTTCATTCAGTCACAGAGAATCTATCCAGTGACCATTACAGCACTATGCTACTTTCCAAACATGTTTGGTAGATTTGAGCGATAAATGAGAGAGGTCTTATCGGCTTTGGCCTCTTTCGTTGTGGGACCCATCCATGAGTTAGGCTCCCGGTTGTAGTGGCTTTTGACTCAGTACTTGGATCAGTACTTACTATATCAAGACTATGGGAGCCTGCCGATGTCGGAAGTAATGTTCTCATCTTCCCGAACGAGTTGAGTATCAGTTGAATGGCCAGGGAAATAAAGAGGGCTCGGTTAGCCTAGGTATGAGTTTGCCCCTCGAACTCTGTGGAAATTTAAGGTTGCGGGTATGACCTATGGGGCCATTGACTTGAGCCTGAGGTTCTGCTTCGTTACTCAGCATGACCCTTCATATATGAATAACGAGGTCCAGCAGTGTAAGCCGTTTAACAATCGTTTTCTAATTTTAAATTCTCATGGGTCAGACTAATGTAGTCTATTATCTTGACACCTTTTTATGGTGACTCACCTGCTCAGCGAACGGACTTCTCCTGCCCTTCGCTCACACATTTGACGCAGATCCCTATCCGAATGCAAACCTCCTGATTAGATGGGTACTTGAGCTTGCCACTACCCCATTTCCGCCCATATAGCACAAGCAGGAATTTGAAAAGAAATTTTGAAGTGTTCTACGTTCTATTCAGTATTGTAGGAGTATTGGAATTCATTTTCAGTAGTCATGGTGATTTACGGGAATTCACAATGGATTCCGTTCCCATGCAGACCACTTTCTCATTCCCTATGATAAAGATCACTGTTTACGCCATCTGCTAGATGAACAGGCTTCCTGTAATCGATTTGCGTCGAGTTTTCCGCTTGAATAATTTTGTATAAGCTAAAAAATCGGTTTGGCTACGATCAAAGCATTTAGGGCTTTAAGGAGGTTCCAGTGGCCTAAACTACCTCAATCTGTCCGTTCGATCTCACGGCCCATAAATCATTTTCACTACTTCACCCGTGCGCAGTAACTCTCATGTTGTAAGGATTTTTCTGAATTGTAGCGAGTTTCCAGCTGTTCCAAATGCTCCATTTCAACCTCTGATCTTTCTCAAGCAAGTTCCACTGCGGTTTCCTTTGTCTGGTAACCTTACAGTTCAACAGCGCAGCCGGTAGGACTGAAAGCACGGCACACTCCCATGTCCACCTTTCGCCTCGGTTCGTTTCGGCTTCATGAGAACGACAAGAAATTTACGAACTCACAAGCAGGATTGGTCTCTTGAGCTGAATCCGCCTGAA